GGAAAGCTGTCAATTTCTAAGGCAACAAGATTGTAATGGGGTTTCACACATCCCCCAACAAACAATGAACAATGAACAGAACTTCAAACAGAACACCAGATGGAATTAATCTGATTCACAGTTGTGGGAGGTGTAAAAGTCACTTCCATCTGTATAGATAGCCTATTCTACCTTAATGATGTAGACCTACCTCCTTTGAGCTGAGACCGTAGTATAAATCAGCTGCCTCCATCAGGTAGCCTCAAAAGCATCTCTTGCTCTGTTAAGAACACCTTCTTGGGTGTCCAGTAGCCTACTCTTTGGGATGATTTGGATCCCTGGTTCTCCAACTTCAGCCTCTTTTTATTGAACCGGTACAGGGTGACATGGCATATACCATGGGACTTTGCCACTGCCCTGACTGATTTGCCCTCCTGAACTTCATTTGAGGCCCTCTGCAGCAGAGGAAGTGGCACTCCCCTGTCTGTCTTCCTCTTTCTGATATTTGGCATACTGTAAACACACGCACACACTTTACGTACAGTATTTTATTCAGTTGATTTTTACAGGGACAATGCACACCAATCAACATCAGCGCGATTCGTACCGACCAATTAGAGCACACTGGGCTCACAGGGGGGGGGAGCTGCAGCGAGCCGTTTAGTGGAGAAAGTGAATACTGCTGAATACACATACTTTACAGAGATGCTGTATGCGAAACCAATGTGAGTTTGGAAAATTGCACAGTATTTTTCTATTTTAGTATACCTCAACAATGGAATAATGATCAGTGGAAATGGCCATGACATGGGACCTTTAATGTTTTACCTCAGAAACACACTTTTGCTGATATCTTTCGCGACAGATTTAAACGTGGCTCCTTTTTTTCACAGCAATCTTTCCATCTAACTGAGCATGTGCTGAGTGAGTTTCATCACTCTAGCTTGTTTGTGATCGGAGATATTGAAGGCGTTACAACTGTCCCTGGTCTCCCTACCATTTAAAGTTGAAAAAAACACGTGACACTTCGAATTAAAGAATATTTGGCCAAAACACTTTACTAGTCATCAAACACATAGTGATTGTTATCTTCAATCCATAGACCCTGCTGGATTCTTGTAATACTGATATGCAATGCAAGCTGTTCTTGTGCATCATGCAGGTCAACATTGAAAGACTCAAAGGCTTTTGTGTACAATAGCTTCAGTGTAATACAAATATTACATTACATGTTAGACGCTTTTATCCAAAGCGACTTACATACTCAATACTGTGGACACTCTCCACAGGAGCAATTTGGGGTGAAGTGTCTTGCCCAGGGACACAACGACATGCTGACTGCAGTGGGGTTTGAACCTGTGCTCCCCTGACCCCAACAACAACAACACACTAGTCCACTACGCTACACGCCTCCTAAGCCCTATGCAAAGTTAAACAAACATGCAATGTACTTAAGACACAAAGATGGAAGTAAAAGTGTGTATTTATATCATGTAAGTAAATTGCAGATATTAATAATAATAATAATCTTTATTTGTATAGCACCTTTCATACAACAAGTGCAGTCCAAAGTGCTTCTCATAGATATTTCACAGAAAATTGATATTACACAGAATACAGATACCAGTAAAAGACATAAAAACAAACTAAATTTGCACAGAGTAGACATATATAAAAATTACATTTAGATTAAAGGTACACCAATGTGCATTAAAAGGAGGATAGTGCACATTCAACACACAATCAGGTGACAGGTTAAAATGCATCGCAATGCATTGAGAAGGTGCAGCAGACCAGGAGTTTGCTTGTATTGTACAAATGTGTTTTGAGTTTTTTTTTTAAAGACTTCCACCGAGCTGGCTTCCCTGAGGTCTACAGGTATTTTGTTCCATAGCTTTGGGGCATAGTTAATGAAAGCTGCGTCACCAAACTTATTTTTGCCACTGTTTCTTTCTTCTATATATAGAAACAAATATATACATAAACCAATAACCAAAAAATAGAACAGAATGTCAAATCAAATACTGACCAGTAGAATAGAAACTATACAGTGTAAAGTATGATACTTAAGGATATGTGGAATATATACATGTGTGTATAATATAAACATTTGTAAGTTATGCCGCTTGGCAGAGCTCAGGAGAACAGTCTTATGGCCAGTAGGGTAAACAAAGGATTTATATGTGTGTCTGTGTGCGTGTGTGTGTGTGTTTGTGTGTTAGGTATCCTTGAGTACAGTGATGACACGGCCATGGCACGTTGTGTGGTCCAGTCTCTTCTCACCCGTGCCGGCTTCGATGAGCGGGACATGGCTCGCAGGTAAGAGGACGAAACACCAAAAGCTTATCTGCAGAGTTTAAGTGTATTAAAGCGTAAATATTGTCCCAAAGCTTTTCAAATAAATTGAGGTGAAAAATACACTCCCTATGTTTCCCCCCGAGGTTTGCTAAGGAGTACAGTGCTTCCCCGGGCCGCGGGTATGGATCCGGAGTGATCCAGGTGCTGAAGAAGCTGTCCTCCCCTCAGCTCAATGACGTGTACCAGCCTGCCAGAGACCAGTTTAATGGTCGGGGCTCCTTTGGGAACGGGGGAGCCATGAGGGCGGCCCCCTTCGCACTGGCTTTCCCCGACCCAGCTGATGTGAAGAAGGTGAGCATTAAACATCCTCCGGACAAAGACCACCCCCATGTATTGTCGAAGCTATGCACATTCTGAGAATCGCCTCACTTAGAGTCCTAACTTACCATTTTAATTAACTGATCCCTGATTGTAAATGATAAACTCACATTAGTGAGAATAATGTAATAAGCTACTTATTTCTCACAATTTTAAACACAATATCAAATACTTTAGCCAAGTACCATTGCACTATATTTTGTTTAGCTGAAGCTTTTATCCATAGCCACCTATAATGTGTGCAATCAATCAAGAGGATACAAATTCAAAACAGTAAGAATCCTGCAAGTACATTAGCTTAAAAAAGGCCAAACAATTCATGTGCTATATACAGATGAAAGAAGAAAAAACAAAAATAATATACTCAAAGCAATTATTTTCATAAATCATGTATTACATAAGAAAGTGGTGTAAGTTAGATTCTAGTTCAAGGTGTCTGACTCGAGTCTTGATCCCAGCTAATATTTATAATGTAAGATATATCTTGAGAAGAGCAGCTAAGACCAATGTCTTTAGGCTTCTTGGCTAACAGTGTCAATATACTGTACAACACTTACACTGGGATATATGGTACTGTGGTAAATAAAATGCAATGTCAGCCAACATCCAGACCCAGTTGATAGTGTAAAAGTCACAAGAAAATGTAGACAAACAACTTCTATCTTTATATGCACAAGGTGTGTTTATTATTTACTCAACTAAAATGGAAGAAATGTTAAAAGATGTTACTCTGAACAGTCTACGTTACAATAGTAACCCACCGACACTGTCCAACCATATCTGTGTTACCGTGATGGTAAAAGAACACAGAAAAGGCTAATTTGAGATCATTTCTTGTGTTTATCCACAGATGATGATGAATTATGTTCCCGGAGTCCGCAGCTATAATATTTATTGGTTAATTAATCGAAAATAATAATATTGTCAGCTAGTGGCAACATCTGTAGTCAATGGAATAAAAAAAAAGACTACAAATCCCACTGCCATCCTATTAAAAGACACTTCTATGGGCAACCTGTGTGGAAGATGCAGACGGGCGGGATTTTCTTAACCGTTATATTCTTAAACCGCATAACAGAAGAAAGATGATCTAAGTTTTCTTATCATTTTATTTAAGTTTAGCCTTTTAGTTGTTTTGATTTGTTTTGACTCTTTTCTAGGTTGAATATGTTTTGAACACAGTTGCATTGATAGCCCCCTGACTTGTTGTTAATACAGAGTTGGTGTGATTTCTTAATTTTTTTTCCTCTGCAGTTTGCTCATCGCGGGGCCATGCTGACCCACTCCTGCTCTCTTGGCTATAACGGGGCGGTGCTGCAGGCGTTGGCCGTGCACCTCTCCCTGCAGGGGGCGCTGGACTTGCCCCTCAAGTTCATCAGCACGCTGATCACACAGATGGAGGACGTGGAGAGCGACGAGGCCACGCTCAATGACGCCAGAATGTGAGAACTACATTAATATAACCATAAGATAATGTCTAATGGTTTCCAGGAAGTACTGCAGGGGTTTTTCTTTGAGTGATTGTCTAACATGGTGTTTCTGTGCAGCTTAAAGGAAGCAGAGAAGCCGTTCTGCGAGCGCCTCCACAGAGTGAGCGACCTGATGCACCGAAGCAAGGTCAGCATCGAGGAGGTCATCTCTGAACTGGGTCAGTATCTGCTGATTTTCACTTAACCCCGACTTTCATCGAGGTTTTAACATGGTTTTAGTCATCCATTCGTTCTTTTCCGGTCCTGCCATTAGCCGCTTTGACACCAAGTACTTTGCCGTACTTAGTTCCCAGCACTTAGTACCCCCATAGAACTAAAGAGCAGATCGCGTTCACACCGGAATAAGTTTCCTGAGGCAAGATTACGCAAATGAAGCCGCTGACGTCACTTCTTCTTCTTCTGCTTTGGGTTTACTGGCAGGCCGCAAACAACTTCACGGCGTATACTGCCTCCCGAAGTCCCTGAACGGAAGTCCCCGGAGTTGGGGACTGGCTTCAGTAGAAGCTGCTGTTTTTTTTTTTGTGTTGCCATAAGTTAGTCTCTCTGCGTTTGTGTGCTGGGCTAATGCCTATCCCCTGTCTAATGCCAGCAAATACAATGGCGGCTTCACAAAACTTTTCAGAGTTTTACGGGGCGTGGTTTGCAATTCGCCCAGCCAATCAGAAATTGGAACTTTTTTCTCCACAGGATAGTAACACCTCTCTAGCAGGGACTGAAAAGGGGGAAAGTTCTCATGAACTAAGTTCTCTTTTTGGTGTGAACGCAAAATCCCAGGAACTATCGGAACAAAACGGGAAAAGTACGTGGAAAAGTACTCCGGTGTAAAAGCGCCTATTGACTGTTTCCAAATTTTTTTATTGTAAACACACAGCATTTTGTTTTGTTATCCAACAAATTACACTTTTGTATCATTAAAAAATCTCCCAGGTAAATTCTCAATGAATCACTTGTCTGAAAATATTGGAAAAAGCCTGAACAGTTTCCTGATGTTCTTCAAATAGTTCTTAGTCACTTAAAATCACTTAATGTAATAATAATGTTTTCACTACTGTGATTGGTTATGACAACACATATAGTAGAATATCATTTTTTGACTTTTTTAAGGATTTATCATGACAGAGCAAATGGATTGTTTCACTAAGTGGTGAATCCCTCCTGATCCCAAACACATTTATTTTACATGTTTGATTTTAGAGCAGCCCATATCCTGTGTATTATCCTTACTTCTTATCACTCAACGTGTCCTGTCTTTTCTTCCAGGCAACGGCATCGCGGCGCTCCACTCAGTCCCCACTGCCATCTTCTGTGTCCTGCACTGCCTGCAGCCTAGAGAATGCCTCCCAGAGAACTACGGCGGCCTGGAGAGGACAATAGCGTACAGCCTGGCCCTGGGAGGGGACACAGACACCATAGCCTGCATGGCAGGGGCCATCGCCGGGGCCCACTACGGCATCGAGGCTATCCCTCAGTCGTGGATAAAGTGCTGCGAGGGGGCGGAGGATGCAGACATGAACGCAGAGCGGCTCCACATGCTGTACCAGCAAACATCACAGGGGGGCGGGACAGGGGACAGGGGAGCCGAGCTGTGGAGCTGAAAGCCAATCAAAAGCTTCTAACGGCACAGAGAAGAAAGCCAGAGCGGAGTGATTCTTACTGAGTGACACACACCCACACATATGATGATTTCAAAACTATGACAAAATGTGTTTTTTTTCCATGACTGAAGGGAGACAATGATGAGACGGCATTGACGCCATTGAAGACCAACTGTGACAATATCAACATGCAATATTCATGAAAACAAAAATGTAGTTAAAAAATATAAACTTCACTAAAATCATTTTATTATAACTTCTACTTCTGTTCCCATCTCTGTCTCTCTGAAAAACACACATACCACATGCCCTACCGCTCAATTGTTCTCCGTCAGACAGTTGTCAGCGCTACTATAAGGCATAAACTCAATGTACAAGTTGAATTGGGTTCGGGTTATTATTTTATATTATGATTCTTTTTTTCCATGTCAGGCGTAGCAGATTGGCTCTCATTACGGGTTGGGTGGGTGCACATCACCAATAAACACAGTCAGTATCAAAGGGGGCCGAGCTGCGTTTTTATTATCAAACAATTATAAGATGCTATCTTCTGTGAAAAAGTTTGTCACAAATGACAGAATTATTGGTTTCGGTTGGACTAGATTTGATGGAAATAGAATAAAAGTTGACTAAATGTTGTGACTTCACATCGACTAAAACTATGAAGGCTAACTACCATGACTTAAAATCTAAACTAAAAAGCATATTATAATTCATGAGCTCAACTATTCCTCAACTATTCCTTTTAAACTCAATCTCAAACAGCTGCCAAGGTTAATACTAACACATAAAGAAACATCTTGACTCGTAGGCTTCAGTAGTGGGGGATCGACCCCCCTACGCCATGAGCCACAGCCACTACAGAATGTTAAAGTAAAACAAACAAGATGCGTAACCAGACAGACTAGATTCACTTTATATGATATGTGTTGTCATAGATACATTTGGTGTGTGTATGCATGCCCGTATACACACACACTCTGCTCTTTCCTGTTTTGTGTTAAACAATCTTCTGTCTTGTGAAAGTTGCACTATTAATTGGCCATGTCTTGTTTTTATCCGTTTGATGGATAACAATTATTTAATAAACATTTTTTTTGTAAATTCAAATCTGTATCAGTGCTCATTTTGTATTTAAGATACAAAACATCAAATTAGATTAAGGAAGGTCAGCTCAATGGAGATGGAGGCTCTTAGTAAGCTAAATGCTAAATGTTCAGCTGGTTAATATATAGCTTATTCTTTGGTTTGTGCGTTGTGCTAACATAATTACAGTGGTGGAAAGTCACTCAGGACATTTAGTCAAGTACTACTTAAAGGTGGGGTAGGTAATTTTGGAGAAACCAGCTCAAGTGCGCTAGAATTTGAAAATACACAGCCGGAAAAAAATCTGCCACTTCCTTACAGAGCCCCTCCTCCAACACACACGAACGCGCACATGACCAATGAGGGCACGAGATAAGTTTATGCACAGATGGAAGGCTGACAGGCAGGTAGGCCATCCAGTTATTTTAGCCGGGCCGGCTAAAATGATTGGTCGTGCTTTTTACAGTAGCCTACTATGGCTTCCACAGATGAAATTTTTTAATGGATTTTTTGTCAAAGATATTCATTGCTATCGGGATGTTAAGAGCATTCCATGGAATATAACAACAAGTGTATCTCGAGCCGGTTTCTCAAACTACCCCACCTTTAAGTAAACATTTCAGGTACTTAAACTTGAGTATTTTCTTTCTATGCTTCTTTATACTTCTACTCTGCTACAATTCAAAGGGAAATATTGTACTTTTACCAAGAAGCTTTATTTGACAAACACTTTATAGATTCAGATTTTCACAGATAACCACAATAAAAAACTTTAAACAATGATGTGTTGATGTGGATTAAACTACACTTAACTAAAAAAATGAGTGAAAACAAAACATTATTTGCTAATTTTGCAAATGTTTTGATAATTTTTTTTTTACAGTTTCAGCTTCTTATGTGTAGATTCGCTGCGTTTCCTCCTTTATATATATATATGGCCTATATATAACCTAAACACCTGGGAATTCCTGTGTTTATTTTCATTTGAGTTTGTTATAAATGTTAATTTGCAGAAGTTTCAAGATCAACATTTTTTAAACAAATCCCCGAATTTTTTCTGCACGGTAACCTACACAAGCTTAGATAGCCAAAAAGGAAATAACTGTTAACATTAACCCTGCCTTTGGATGTAAACTACTTACATGTATCAAAAATGCTCTTTGAAGTATTGGAATAGTGAAACAATTACACTGTCCTAACCATTGTTGTAAAATTTGCCACTAAACACGTTTTCGTTCGTGTTTATGATAGTTCATTACTAAAAATCCAGTAGGCTGATAAGTTCACAGTTTTAAGTTGAAATTGGGTAGTACGCATAGAATTTGTATATTTTTACGCTAACGGAAAAAAGGAGAGGTACACTTAGAGGGGTCCCGCCAACAACTTCGGTAAAGATACGCACTGACCGATATATGGACGACCACTTACCTCGATGGCTGCCTAACATCATACTGCCGGTTTTCTCGAGTAAAGGAGTTCGCGATCATCGCCATGGACCGTCATTCTAGTCGATGAGGTGGTAGAATATAACAAAATTATCTAAGTCCATCATGTCTAGGTCGAGGCTATGTGTAACTGTACTGAATAAACTGACAATTTTACAGGTAGAAAGTTTCCTCGTACTCCTTCTCACTTTGAAGGACATCTAGTAGTGCGTCACTAAAAAGGTTTCTTATGTATACTCGATTAAGCCTCAAATGTATATACAATGTAAACACAAGGAAGATAGTGAACCCCGTACAAATTGACAGTTGTTTTTGTGTATGAAAAATCAGTATGCACAGACTAGACTTTAATATGTAGATGCTCAACGTGTATTCTGTATTCATACTCTCTGGGGAACCCTTAATGGACCTAAAGACGTATTCAACACCACTATTTTAACTACCTCTCGGGTGACGACCGTCTTTTTGAACGACGTGCAAACTTCACCGACTCAAACGTTTTCTCGTGGACCCTAAGGTGTCCGTGATGACCGGTTGTTATAAAGACACCTGTCTAACTTTGGTTCAACTCCAACAAAACCTTCCCTTCGTGGTGTTGCGATACACACCCTCTTCTTTTGTCCGGTGTCCTGTGTGGTTGTAGTTTTGGAGTAACAGGTTGACACTTCATACCACCTCCTCGTAGGTACCAAACCCCGCCAGAAAACGACGGAGTCGGCGGACCTCTAACGGTAAGTAGCTGCCTTTTTACTTAAGAGTTCAAATAGTTCTGAAAACGGACCTCCGTTGAATTCCGGGTAGACAAGGTGGTTATACGTTTCTGTAGTTGTCTTCTACCCACTTACGTTGTCCTGGTTGCTAGGGTGTCGTGGTCCTTCATTTAGTGTCGTCTTACCGTAAGTTGTCTTCCTTCTATCCGGAAGAACTCCCACTCCCGGTCAGTCGTCAGGGTCCAGGACTTGGAGTCTGGGTTAACTCTACGACACCGTACTGGAAGTTCTTTTGTAAGTGTGGTCTGTAGAGAGTTCGTATAACGATTGACTTTGTCAAACATTTCTTCCCTTACAGGTTTTAAGGAGTGACTGGCAATCACTCTCTGAACGAGGTCCCGAAGGTTGCATTCCGGTAATGGTGTAACTCCCTGTACTATTATATGGTCTAGGGACTAGGTACAAGAGACTATGATCACGATGCGCGGTGGGTGTTAGTGGGTTATAAGTGGCCGAGTAAAAGTCCCCAAAAATCCAGGAAACAGGCAGATACCAGTACTAGCGGTCACTACTAACCTTTTGTCTGACGTCTACAGATTGCGTCCTGTTAGACGAGGTCTCTATAGGACTTCCTTGAACAATTAGGTTTATTATTTATTCCGCGAAGTTACAGAATACGTTTGATATCCCTTTTGCAAAACAAAACTCCAATAACGACGGTTATCACTGCCCAAGATTGGTCAATAATATTAAGGTTGCCCTCAATGTATGAAAAAGGTGGGACGTGAACTTACAAATGTACCACACAAGTTATATTTGTAATTTTTGTATAATGTTAAACAAACACACCAATAATCGAATTCGTCTGACAACAAACAGAATAACAACACTGAATCTACTTCGTATGTTCTTGTGTAATAATACTGGTTAAATACGTCTTTTAGGTCCATCAAGTTTCCCGAAAGTGTGCGTTAATGAAAATAACGTTGACATATATCCGTAAAGTTGCAACGCGTATGTAATGTGGTTTTACGTTATACTCGTGGTTCTACAAACAAGACTACCACACCACGTCTTCCTCAGGATTCGTATCCCTCAAAAGAGTCATCGTAATAATGGTGCCAGGCCTAAAGGAACAGGAAAATGTTTCACTACAAAAAAATAAAAACATGCACAAACACCGATTTTCGATTTTTTATTACAGACACAAATTGTGTTCAAACCCAAGCGATTTCTGTATTTTATGCAGGCCTGAACATCTAAGAACTGGTGTTGTTTTGCAAAAGGTATATCGGAAGTCAGGTTTGTTAAAAGTCCTAGTTTTAGACTATTTTGAAGGGGTGACAAATGTGGGATGTATGAACGATGACGTCGTACACCGAAATCTTTTAAACTTTCAAGACAACGTGAAAACACTTTGAACACGGCTAAAAAGGTGTCCTTGTTGTTCACAATCTCGACCCCGAACCTGGTATAAACAGACCCGGACAGTCCGCAACAGCACGAAAGCCGAGTGACTTGCCTTTGCAAGAAGTCTCCCCCCCGGCACACACGAAACACCGACGGTCCCTTCCAGTGGACCACTCGTAGAGGGAATACTAATTTTATTATCAATCTAACAAGTCCTCGTATTCGCACTGCTAGAAGTACGTGACTGAACACATAAATGAGAGGTCGCTATAGGATCGGTACCGAGTGCAGAGGCGTCTGACTAGGTAGAGGTCGCGACTAGAAATGGTGGCACCCAGAGAGAAGACCACGACTGGGGCCTCTGTAAGGTCTCGTAACAGTTGAAGAAAGTCCACTTTCGACCGCAGAACTAAACGTACACAAATCCAAACAAAACTCAACTAACCAAAAGTCAAATTTGTTTATGTCCATAAATTATCATCCAATTTTTGGATTAGAGTGTTTTTTTGTGTTGATTTTCTTCCCCAAGTATCATAGAATTCATAAGTTATACTTTAATTCAATTATCTACCATAGGTCACACAGGATTTTATTTTTTTTACCTGACGG